ACGCTTTGTGGTAGGTGTATAAATGAAACTGATTAAATTCCAGATAAATTTGCAATTTCTCAAACGCAAAAATAACGGCAAGTGCCTCGACCTCATAGGCAGTATAGTTTTTTTTCTGCGTTCTTTTGTTTCCTCGACACGAAAGCGATCGGGAGGAATGCTCCGTCTTCTTCTTTAACGAGACTAGCTGCCACACCGAGGGTCGAACCATTAGAAAATAAAGAAAATGTTTCTTCAAAATTCGAGGTTTTGAGAACAGGCGGGAAAGTAATACGGTCACGGAGGGTGTGCCAAGCTTTTTCTCATTCCTCAGACCGTAGCATGGTTGAATCGTTTTTCTTATTTAATTTAACGGCCGAGAAATAATTCCAAGATCTGGGATGAAAAATTACAAAAAAAAGGCTATGTTACCAAGGGAATGTGCTACTTCATATTACTTGTTTAGGGGTTTCGGGCCTTGGAATCGTCAGGATATGTTTTATTCTGTCTTGATCAACAGAAATTTTGCCCTGTTCAATTATATGATCAAGAAAACAACTTTTAGTGTCAGCTAACTGGCTGTTTTCAGGATTTAATGTTAATTTAGCGCGTTTTAAGCGATTTTTATGTGATTGATATGCTGTCCCCACGTTTCGCTATAGATAAAAATATCGCCCAGATAAAAAAATACAAATTTATGGTTTAAGTCCCCCAGTATTGCTTTCACCAACTGTGAAAAGACATTCCTGGTATATTCCAGTGTAATTCTAACAGTCGAATGGTGTAGAAAATGCAGTTCGAATTTATTTTGTAGTCGTGTGTCAATTGTATTTGATGGCATGTTGGATTTAAGTTCATTACTGTGAAATACTCTTATTTATTTATTTGTTTGCTTATTTATTTATAATATTGTCTATTTCTGATAATATTAATAATAATGTCTGGGTCATTCCCTGACAAACCATCGCTGCACCGTGTATTCGATAATGCTTCCCCTCTCCAAATGTATCGATCCTACGCGCGGATTGGGCCTCACTTCGCCCAAGTTTAAATGCGTACAAATAAATTTTACGGAAATCTTGTTTGGACTATTTAATTTCTCTCATTCTTATAAAATTCAATATAAACTAAAATGTTTTGTACAAAAGTTAACAGTTAAAAGTATTCATTATAATCCATAAATTAGATTTGAGGATTTAGCTTTGCTTACATGACAAGCACCTGCGAAAATAAAACAAATTTTAAAAACCTGCATAAATTTCAACGACGTTTTATGTTGGATAAATCGATATTAGGTTTAGTATTATAATGGGATTTTTTCAATTATTGCGGTTTTTAGTTGTTTATTTATGGACTTGACGTTTTCTCTTTTAAATTTCAGTTTCAATTTATTTTGCTTTTGCTTATTTCTGACAACACGGCTTGTGGTATTAAGGTTTTTTTATTCCTATTGCTAATCACTTTCTCTTTCATGGCCAGATTCTTTCATTGATGGTTTTGTACAATGATTGTACGCTCGCCTTGTGTACTTTAAGATAATTATTGAATAACATTGTTTCCATATCGATATTTAAAGGCGATTCATTTCCAATTGGCTCATTGATAACTTCTAATGTTTTTAATTTCGTCACAGAGTGGATAGTGTTGTTGTAGGCAAGAATAGTATAATTTAATTTAAGAATAAGTTCTTTAATTGTCGTATCTCTGCATATATCGCAAGTTTTAAGGAGCCGAATGTGTTAGGGCAGAGTGGAATCTTTCGATGGCTCCGTTAGATTCCGGATGTTGTGAAGACGTGAAATGAAGTTTGATTTTCTGGACTTTTAAAATTTCACGGACTAACGAATTATTAAATTCCAATCAATTGTCCGAAACTATTAGAGTTGGGGTATTTGCCTAACAAACTCATAAAATATTTAATTAATTTGCTGACAATTTGAATAGCTAGGCCTGACTTAAGAGAGTAAGCTTGGGCATACTTTGGGAATGTATCGATAATTTAGAATTGCTTTTATGTTATGGGGATTCGGTTTTATTCTGTTTGGTGTAATAATATGACCAAGGTATGTGACTTCTCTATTTAGATTCCGTTTTATTTCTTCATATATATTTTTCCGTTTTATCATTTTGAATTTCGAAATACATAAAATAGACAGACTTAATTGCAACCCTTTAGAAAGAAGTAAGACCAAAGGAACATAGTATCTCTAAAGTCAAATTCTCGGAGTTTTGGAAGTAATGCACTGAGGACAACCAACTCAAAGGCCTCGGAGAAGTCGGTGTATACATCAACTTGCGATTTTGATTTAAAGGCCGAAATGGTGTATTGTTGGAAGATAAGATTGGTAACATCTGCCTTTGAGGAAATGTCGTTCATCAAAAATAAGAGGTCGGATAGATGGAGTAGTACATACAGATTGTAGGTTGAAATAGGGCCATAGTTTTTAATGTTGGCTCGCTCTCCGGACTTGTCACTGGTTTTTAAGCAAGTGGGAAATTCTCCTTTAGAGAGAGAAAAATTATATGAACTCAACTACTCTCGAGTGCAGTGGAGTGATTAATGAGTGTACACATTATTTGAGGATAAATGGAGGAATCACGACAGGTCCAGGAATTTTATACCGTTGATTAATTAAAAAAAAATTAATGATATAATATAATAATGTGGGATGGTATATAATGTTATAACTTAATAATAAAGTAATAATATTACAATTATTAATATTAAAATAAAACAGGTACCAAAGGTCAATCGGATTAATTGTGAATAATATGTACTACCTCATACATGCGGTTCTTGTTGGATGGAATAGATTTTAATTTAACTTTGTTGAGTTCAATAAAATGTTGGACTTCAATCCCCTCGCGCTGGGAATAGGATACCCCCAATTATAACTTCAAATTAACATGCTAGTCGAAATAATTGCGTATTATCTTCGTATTATTTATTTTCCCATATTATAATACACCCCAGCGGGTTTGGTTGAATCGTATGACGAAAGCATACCTGGAAATTGGCAATTGAACTTGATTATAAAAGTCTCTTTTTACCTCGGGCTACTTTAAATTTTTATCTTCTCAAAATGGCGGTGTACGTCGTGTAAAAGAACAAAAATAATCAATTATCCAGTGAAGCTTTTTTAAAATCAACGTTAGCGGATTAATAACTTTAAAGAAAAACTACTTACTTACTTTTCATAACCCATTTGAGTCAAAACCTAGACACTATCCCACCCTTTCTTGCCATTTTTTCTTTATCACTCTCCTGTTGCTATAAAAATTAAACAGAATATTTTGATAAAAACATAAATGTAGCACAAAGTTTTATACAAATCCTGTCATTTTCTTTGTCAGTTCTGAGTTCTCACGTGCTCACCAAGAGAGTCAGAATTCATTAATGTTACGTAGATTGAAAATAAGGAAAAAATATCGAGAGAGATATATTTAGAGAGATATAATAGAGAGAGGATCAATACTTTCGTCTTTTCACGAAAGTATTGATATCTCACTCTCTCTCTTTCTTATATTTCTTACGCTCTTTCACTCAATTTCTCTCTCTTGCTTTCTTATTCTTTCTAAGTCCCTCTCACTCTCGTTCTCTTTCTTTTTCTCTCCCTTTTTATCTTCCTCTCTTTCTTTCTTTTTCTCTTCTGCCCTCTCTCCCTCTCTCTTTTCTCTCGCTCTTTTTTACTCTCTTAGTCAAGTTTTCTATTTCTATCTTATTCTCTTTCTCTCCCTCTATTATCTATCTGTCCTTTTTCCTGTTTCTCTTACTTTCACTCCCACGGAATTCTTACTCTACGCGTTTTTCTTACATTTTTCTTTATTTATCAGATCCCATTGTCCCTTCCTCTGATTCTCTACCGAACAAGACTGGCAAAACCATCGAAGGGCTGGTTGAGCACAGACTCTTCCATTTTTGGTCCTCTCTATCATTTTATACCTTAACGTCTTCTATGTTCTATCTTTCTCACTTTCCGTTCTCACCCTGATTCTCAATATTCATTGTTTTTTCTTCTTCCTTCCTTGTTATCACCTTTTGTTACTTTATTTTTCGTTAACGCCATCTATATTACTATTTCTTTTTCTTTAATTGTCTTTTCATTTTTCTCATCTGCTCCTTCTCTCTTCCTTTTTTTCCTTTGTATCTGTACACAAAAGTTACATTATGCCCTTTTATCCTCCTACGAGGTGAGAGTTGGTCTCAAATCCTCAGATGAGCGTAATTTCATATGGAGACGCTCAGGAGAAATGTACGCCCCATGGTGTATGGTTCCTCAGGTGGAATTCCACCGTGGGTCATTGATGTTCTGGGTGCCCCTTCCTTGGACGGCCGTACCGAATTGGTTGTTGTGGGAGGAAGATCTCAAACTAATTTCACAGAGGTACCATTTGCCCCCCACATTGGTGAGAAATTCTTGCTAATGCAGGATAATCCAGTCCCCCCATAGAGCACATATTGTGGATGACTACCTGAATGAGGTCGGAATTGAGTGCTTGCTGTGGCCAGCTAGAAGTCCGACGGCGAAAACCAGGTCATCACTCATTGGAAGGGGTTGAATTGGCTATTCTTGATGATGGGAGTGAATTCCTTAGGATTTTACCAGAAATCTGGTCCAAAGGTGCAAAGGAGTTTAACGGACAGGATTCTGCCAGAGGTGGAAATTCTCGATATTAAATGGGACAAACAACTTTTTTTAAACGTTTTTATTTGTTTCTGAATTCCATGTTTTTTGTTCTTTACTACATAATTGTTTTTCTACGAATTGTGTAATAAATATTTTCTTTTTAAATGCCTTATTTTTTTACAACCAAACCTATTGTTGGTATGCAAAATATTAATAAACGTAAACACATTAAAATTTAAGGGTGGTGCGTTAATTTTGTCCATTAGTATATTTCCATTTTAGGTCGTCCAATTGGACACAATAAATTGTGTTAGTTGTCTATCCAGTCAACCTGAAATGTTTTAAGCGAATGATATTTTTATCATTGATCGGGTGATTTGTTCTTTTTTTCAGTGGCAGATGCAACCAGCGCAGGGCCGAACGGGCTCGTGACGGGCAACATATACCAATTGGGCTCGTTTGATCAATGCGTACAAATTGACGTACCTGAGCACGACATCAAAGGGCGATACTTCATGGGCCGGCTTCATTTCGCACCCACCAGTACCGAATATCCGACATTTTTCAATGACGTGAAGGAAGTTTTTGAGCTACAGGGACAAAACTCTTCCATATGGGAAACCTTCAAGGTGAAACAATTGACTTAAGTGGTTGTACCAAAGTTTTTGGCTTAACGCCGGATGGAGGATCTCGTTTTAAAAAAGTATCATTAAGCAATTAGATTTGATAGCGAGGGAAGCCAGATCCTTGTTGAGGTTTGGGGTAGGCTTTAGCTTCAGGGTCCTCTGCTTTACAAAGAGTACTGCTTGCGTTTTTAGAGATGGCCCATGCTTTTGAATGAATTTCTGGCACCAGGAAGTTCTCTTGAAAGTAAACCCTGCCCACTTCTCATTACCTAATTCTAAAATCTTATCCAACCGATCTTAGCTTCAAAGTGGTGCAGCAATTCCCAGGCCGGTTTTATTGTGTACAGCATTGATAGCTATCTCATTTGTGTTCTCGTGTTCCCTTTTGTATATATTGAAGTGATTGCATTTATTGGCTTGAATGTATAGTGTGAGAGGGCCGATGGCGGAATATTGAGTACCCATCGACCCTCAATTGGATTAGTTATTTAAGAGTGAGTGATAGATAGTTTGCGTTGGGGCTGAAATGACCTAGCTGTTGATAGCCTTGTTTGTACCTATAAGCAAGATCGACGTCTGACCCCGGACTGTCAACACTCGGGGAGGTGATTCTCAAAGCCTGTCGGTAATTTATTGTAAATCACAAAAGCTGGAATTGCTGGTGGCGTTCGAGAAGTTATAGGCTCAACTCTGTACATATGTATTTGTATGTATATCCGTGAGCAGAATTGAGCTTATATAAACCAGAATCAGTCCTGTTATGCTTGCATGACTTTAACCTTCAGCTGTTGGTTATCTCGGGTTTTAGGAAACTTCAAAGATGATGAGTTAGTTATTTAAATAACTCACAACCACACTATTCTATTATTTGCAGCATAACACAGACAAAAGGACTATTGATATGAACGTGGCACAGTTCGCAATCTGCGCACCTCACTCGTGCATGGAAGAAGACGTGAAGACATCGTTAGAGGCTACACTCTCGTCGTACAAGTACGAAATCCAGGTGGACGTCACTGTCAACAAGCTCTTCACCTATTCTAGAGCGGATTTGGAAAAGTCCGGCTATCCGATTGGATTTTACATCTTCGTGTATGTATACTTCTTTGTATTTCTTCCTTCAAATTAGCCTCTCTCTCGTGTGTGTGTGTGTGTGTGTGTGTGTGTGTGTGTGTGTGTGTGTGTGTGTGTGTGTGTATGTGTATGTGTATGTTTGAGAGAAGAGGGTGTAATACAAAGTGCATGAAAGGGAGTGAATATGATAGCATTTCGGCGTCTTGACATCTTCAGTGGTCCATCAGCCTCTTATAATCGTAGGCGATACTGGATAAGTTTTAAAAAACAAGGTCAAACCTGAGAGAGTGTAAAAAAACATAAAACAATTTATTGCTATTTAAAACTTAGCAGTCACGTGAATCCTGAAAGCCGTTGATCAAAAACTGATCACCTCTTCGATTATGACTCATGGATGACATAAACATTTTCGATAAATATTAAATTCGACTGCTGAAAAACGATTATCAAATACACATATTTTATTTGTAAGTAAAACTAGAAAATCAGAATAAATTAAATAAATATATGTCAGTTGTTTGGAAGTAGATGCCACCATATGTTGAAAAGTACGTTAATGCGTTAGAATTGGATTTGGTGGTGTTGTTATTTACGAAGTGGCATAGTGATTATTGTTGATTATCTGTGTTCGGCCTTCTGCCTTTGACAGAGGCTTTACGCCATTTTCAATTAATTCCTTTTGTTTCATGTTCTCCCTCTCCCCTTGTACAGTCGTGAGAAAGGTTAATAATAATGGTGCAGGGACTGGTAGTGACGGGGCGTGGATGCCTTTGAAGGTACTGAGGCACCGTACTGGAATTTTTTTCTGTGTTATTGGTCTTAATTGGCCATTAAGCACGCCAGTTCGTTTGAGTTTACAAGTTTCGTGGTGTTCCGAAAAGTGTAAATTGGTCGAATGTGAATTTATTCGTTTGTTTAATGTGTTTCCCGGTAATGAATGTCCTTTGCTGATGTTAAAAAAATAAATTTGAATAAATCATATTTTTCGAATATGTTCGGTTGTCTTCACATTCTTTTAACCCGGGTTTAAAAAGCAAGACAGTAGAGACAATCCATTCGGGCAGAAACACCCGACCCACTCGAGGAAAAATCAGTTAGAGTTAGAATCGCTTGCCAATAAGGTGACAAGTGCATTAGTCAAACTGGCAAGACGAGAGACAAGTTCAATAAACAGACCGGTCAAAAATAAAGACGGATCGGACCTAATTACGCGACACCCCTACACATGAATCATCACGGACCTTACAAATACAAACAAGTGGGAGGAGGATAACTAAACAGAGACGAGCCGACGTATACAACAACACAAATTCACTCCTAAAAGCAGGTCAAAGACGCGTTAAAAAACACCCACACCGCAAACGTCCTTTTTCTCCGTGGGCTTAAAAAGACGAATAGTCATCGACATTCACATTCAGTAAACCACTACCGATTAAGAATATTAAATTATTTGGTTTATAAAAAATGATCAAATCAATGCAGACAAATAATATCCTGAAATTCAGCTATATACATATTCCAATTAGATTTCTACCTTGCTTAACGTAGAGTAATAGTGATGTTTTGTCATTTGTCGTCATCGTATAATAAGTCGTTTCAAGAAAAAGAATGAGAAAATAGATAATTAGGCAATAGAAGCAAGGAGTCACTTTCAATAAGAGAGAGATAAAAAAATAAACCCTGAGGAATAAAGAGTAAGGAGAGAGAGGGAGAGGGAGAGAAAGAGAAAGAGAGAGAAAAGAAGAGAGGAATAATGGTGAAAAAGAGAGTGATAAGAGAAAAAGAGGGGGTAAGAAAGAAAGAGAGAGGGAGAGAGCAAAAGAGAAATAAGGCTGATAAAGAGTAAGAAAGATAGAGTTAAAGAGAAACAGAGAGAAAAAGAAGAAGGGAGAGAGGGATAATGAGTGGAAAATAGTAAGAAAGAATGAGGAAGAGAGTAATAAAATGTGAAAGCGACTTAAAAATAAAGAGAGAGAGAGAGAGAGAGAGAGAGAGAGAGAGAGAAGAGAAAGAGAGAGCGAAGGAAATAAAGAGCAAGAGAGGGAAAGTGAGAAAGATAGAAAGGGAGGGAGAGAGAGAGAGAAATAATGGTGAGAAAGAGAGTGACAAGAGAAAGAGAGAGTGAAAGAAAGAGAGTAGGTAAGAAAAAAAGAAAGAGAGAGAGAGAGAAAACATAAACCCTGAGAAATAAAGAGTAAGGAGAGAGAGGGAGAGGGAGAGAAAGAGAAAGAGAGAGAAAGAGAGTGGGTAAGAAAGCAAGAGAGAGAGAGAGAGAGAGAGAGAGAGAGAGAGAGAGAGAGAAAGAGAGAGAGAGAGACGTATAATGAGTGGAAAATAGTAAGAAAGAGTGACGAAGAGAGTAATAAAATGTGAAAGCGTGTTAAACATAGAGAGAGAGAGAGAGAGAGAGAGAGAGAGAGAGAGAAAGATTTACTATTTTCTGTCGTCATTTTGTGATGTATCTACGTGATTTATGGCACATCAGACCTTCTCGTCTGTCGGACTGATCACTTTTTGACTGCTTGTTAATCACACGATTCTTAAATATCCTTTTTCGGCATTAACTGCGCTACAAACACATTTCTTTTTTTTAATTAACCTGATAAATGTTATAGTTTTGCTATTTCCTGTCAGATGTATCTACTTGATTTTTGGCACATCACTACCTCAATCGTTTTCAACATTTTCAAAAATCGTTTTCAAATAACTATCGTATGATGTTTAAAATTGTCTGTACACGTTATGCTGGTGTCGTATTAAATTAAACAATACGTTAAATAAAATTGATAGCACGTTAAATGACCTTCCTCGCCCACACAGATCGGTCAGAATATTTTCATCCAAAGTAGGCAGCGTTGTTTATTTATCCAAGAGGATTTAGGTTATCGAAACAACTTTTTGACTAATGTGTATTTTAACTAGGTGCAATCTCAGGTTCTATTTATTTAGGAAGTTTTAACATTTGCAGTTAAAATGGCCTTGTTTTTTGGCAATGAAACAAAATGACAATGATTTGATTTTTTTGGCAGGCCGGCAACGGATTTCTGCGACAGTAAACAATTTTGAAAAAATGTTTCAGGGGGACGACTGTGATTTTGGTATGTCTGGTAACACTCTCGACCGTGTACGAGCTGTGGTGCTGCAGACTGGAAGACACGCCGATCGGGAAAGGTAAAAACAAGAAAAAGAAAAAAATCCCATGCTTCTCCATCCGTCTGGACTAAACGAGTATTGCAAAGTGGTGATGCGGGTTTAATCTATTTTGATTTTACTGTGGCGCAATCTGCTTACATTTCATGCATGGATTGTTTGATATAAATTGAAACTGACCAGTGACCTTCTCGAGAGCAGATAACAATCATCGCATGGACAGAAGGGGTCAAGTAGAAAGGCTTTTCCAACCCCCGCAGCACTCTTCTGACATTCCACTTCCCCACTCTCAACCCTCCACGGCGATATTTCATACAGAAAAACAAGTAATTCGACTGGCTTCATCAATTTTGAACACATAATTATTCTCTTTTTAGTGTTCACTGTATGAATTCTATTTATTACAGAGAAAAATTGATGTGTTTATACAAAGTAACATAACATTCCATAAGAGCTAAAGACACAGTCGACAAACTAATGAACAAAGAGCGTACAAAAGAACATAACACATACATAATGATTCAAACAAATCTGTTTCATAAACTAGGCATATAAAATGTAATTCGAGAATTATTATAGGAGAATGCGTGCAATCTGATGCAACAAGAGTTGATAACACTAACCTATTTGACAGAAACACTACATGTCCAATAAACCATATGTAATAACAAAAGCTATAAATATAACCAAAAATGAGAAAATTGGATGTATACAAAAGTCAAACGACATCACAGAACGTATGAACATAAACACACAAAACAATAGCAATAGGCTTTACCAAAGGGGTACTGGTGCTCCCTTTCTTCCAGTACGACCCAAAAGATCTTGTGAAATTAACCCCATTAAAGCATCGCTAATTCTCTAGGTGATCGCCTTTTGGAAGTGGCTGTACAGTGTGTGGACATTTCTTCCTCCATTAGCAAATTATAGGTCCAGTCAATCAAAAACCTTCCCACAAAGAAATCTGTCTCATAGCCCCTGAAATCCGTCGACTCTTTCTTAAATAAGCAATCCTCTTTCTAACGTACCTTTATTAAGCTGTCTTAGTAGTTAAGTATTTTCATTTTGTTTCTTTTTCCAGAGTTTGAGTTGAAGTTGGAGGAACGTGAAGGGCCTTCAGTGCTGCTTGGCTGTCTGAAATCTTTTAATCCTTTTTTTAAGAATTGTACCAGTGTTTTCTATTCCATAGATCTCAGCTTGGAAAGTTCGTGGTGTGAGAAAATCTTTAGCTTACTGATTTTGACAACTGCCTCCATGTTCTATTTAGACCCATCAAAATTTTCTATGATGTTAAGACATGCTTTACGGCTTTCGGCAATCTGTACAAACATTATGTGATGTGATACAATATTTATCATTTGCAAATATCCTGAGACGAGCCAGTAACCATTGTTGCCCCCCCCCAGTGTTGTTATTAGTATTTTTGTATTTATTAGTTATATTTTTACTTGTTAAAGAGGATGTTTTTAGGTTGAGCTTCTTTCTCTTTTCGAATGGTACCGGTGTGGTTTCTACCAAATTGTGGGCACTTAGCATTTGAGTTAAAACAATTTCATCATATCTGGCCTTTATTATTACTATTCATCAGCGAAACTGTACGCTTCTTTTAGCTTTACAATTTAGCACTACAATCAGGTCATCAACCACAAGACTGGCTTTAGCCTTTGGGGGCTTGTTGATTGTTGCTTCAATTCTACTTTTATTTTTCGACTTTTTAACATTGATATTATCGAGTTAAAAATCGAATGATCAATGATATCTAAAGCACCCTCTTTATCCATAATGCAGCATAATGCTACTTCTTTTTCTCCATGATTTGGATAACTTTTCTAACAGAGCATTTTACGCAGTTAATGGTGAAATTCCTTGATCCATTTTGGATCCATCTTCATGTCTTGTTTTGATTTGAAAAGATCTGTCAAATTAAGTAATTTCTGTACAAAGAGTTCAATCGCATGGACGACGGCTTGACAAGTCTTTTGTCTACCTAGGACTTTCCTAGCTAAATTTGGTCCTAGCACTATAAAATATGAATAATTCTCAAATGTAAAATATAAGTTATTTCATTTTATCAGAGCTTTTTGTACCAATCTCGTTAAGTTTGTATCCTATGGAGAATTTTGTTATGGCTGTCTTTTTAGATATAGCTTGATTTCACTAGTAGCAGAAGTTTAGTAAGCATATTTAACTGATTAGAAAATGAAAAATTAACTTAGAAAACGATGATTTCTAAAAAAGTGTTTCTTAATGATTACATTTATTAGTTTGGGGTTTTGTACACGACACAAACCCAGACAAAGACACAAAACAAAGACAACAGCGACAAAATCATGTATTCACATTTTACAAAAACGTCACCAATCTCGTTCCTTTGGGTTACGACTTGTTCAAATCCGTGGCTCTAGTTTTTCTGAATATTCGTTTAATAAAATAACAAGGGAACGCGCAAAAATACAGAAATTCCTTCCACCCAGGTATTCCTAAAACTGAATATGTCACAATTAATATACGATTGATTGATTGGAAGGAACATGGTTAAATTATAATCCACGTCATTCCATAATGAGTCATAGAAATTGCAAATAATAGGTTAAATTTGATTTAACGAGGTTGTGATCAAGACAGACAATATACAAATATACAAACAGCTTTTCAAAGTAGCAAAATGTATAGTGTGTATTTTCTGTTGTAAAATCGATTTTTCTCATCTCAAAAGTGTGGAAGTGTGGATAAGAGGAAAGTGGATGAGAAGAAAAAATATATTTCTTGGGTGCTATATATAAATAGGAACCGACAGGAATCCAGCATAAACGTTCGTTGTGAAAGGAAAACCATTTTCATTGGGGTTTTCCTTATTCTGGCTCTTACTATGATTGCTTACCGCTAAAAACCCAGTAATTTCGATTGGAAAATGATAAATATAAATTTGGAAAGTTTTCGATTCACAAGAGAAAAAGACAGCCTTTGCCGAATGGAATGAATCAAACGAAATTTTGAAAAAGTAAGTCTATTATATATGTCTTTCTGTATATCACATTTTGCCGAAACATTGATTTGTTATTTTCAAATTACGATTTTATCAAAATTTCAATGTATATTTCCGGAATTGAGAATACCAAGAAGTTTGACAAAAAGAATAATTATCAAAAAAAAGTTCGTTTAAAGCTTACCAAGGGTTGATTCCATGATTTATTCAAACCACCTTTGAAATTTCTATCCCGATGCTCTCAAAACCAAATTTCCTTGAAATTTTTATCCAGATGCTCTCCAAACCAAATTTCCTTGAAATTTTTATATCAATGCTCTCAAAACCAAATTTCCTTGATATTTTGATATCGATGCTCTCAAAACCAAATTTCTTTGAAATTCTTCATCCCGATAATCTCAAAACGCTAATAAAAGCTAATATGCGAAGTTCATAAGGCCGTTTAAAAAATAAAATAAATAAAACTCCATCCCTTACGCTTTTAACATCTCTTCTTTTATGTATAATCTATGTTCAGTAACAACCTTCCAAACTAAAACATCGATTATTTTTTTCTTTTTATATAGCAATAATCGGCAAACAATCGTAGCGTGCAATCGTTAAATAAACACCCAGGAGCGGAGAAATAAATTGTATTTTATAAAAGAAAGGTCGAAAAATTTCTCACAACTTTAGGTCCCTTAACAAGACTCCCCATTCCGTTGTTTGTCCTCTTTAAACCTTTTACTCCTCCTGACACCAAATACCCAATAAAAGTTGTGGATTTGAACTCTTTGCCCCTTCAACCCTCAGCAAACGACAAAAAAAAGTTCTTCTAGTTCATCTTCATACCATTCAGCGCACGTTGTAGGCTTTTAATCAACCTCAATAGCCTTGATAGCGGGTCCCTGCTGAGGATCTTGTTTGCGGCTTTTCCTCCATTGTGCAAGAATCTACACCGACATTAAAACATATAACGTGTTCTGCGGTCTACACCCTTCTTCTTGGCAGTATCTGCTTGGTGGTTCTTCCGTCTGTACTCCTATGCCTGGGATATTCTTCCACCAGGTCTTGGCCTCATTATCGATCCATTTTTGGATGTGCCCTGTTTTTGTGGAAAGGTGCTAGGCAACAATAGGTCAGATTATCGGTGTCACTGACTTCCGCTAGGGCTTCCATACAATTCCATACACTTTTTGCCTTTACCTGCATGAGGTTAAGGCCCTAAGTGCAGCCGACTGTCGGAAAAAATGGTTATCTTCCTAGATTGTGTTCCTAGGTTTTTTATTTCTCTGCGAAGTGTTCAATTGCTATGATTTCAGAGTGGAAAACGGTAGCATATTTCCCTAAGTTTAAAGTTCGTTCGAATTCATCCGGAGAACTCCATCCCCCGAAATATAGTATTCGTTATTGAGTCGTTAGTACACCCACCAGTAGGAGATGGCATTCAGAGGTATTCATTTGGCCCACTCTTTCCTTTCTGGTATGAGTACCTTGTACCTTTTGGTGAAGTTATATTTTGGTGTAGTGGCATCGATTGGCATGCGTAGTATGGCATGTGCCTATATCTCCTCCCTCAGTTTCCATTGTTCGTTAACATGCCCTATCCTTGCAGATGGTTGTCCATTTATGATCCTGTGGGCTGCTGCTCTGGCTTCTCCTTGAATTAAAATATCAAGTGGTGGGAGGTTTAACAAAACTTTCAGGGCCGCAGTTGGCGTTGTACTCATGGCACCAATGACACTGAAGCAAGCTTGATTTGAGTGCCACTTAATATCCTGATCGCCTTGTCTGCAAAGTCTTGGTTCACTACACCACCGACCCATATGCCTACATTGGTTTCATTATACAGGTGTAGAGACATAGGGTCATTTTGGTATCTAATACCCAGTTTTTGGCGCTGAGCCTTCTGCACCTCCCCTAGGCAATTTCGGCTCTCTGGGTGGATTTAGTTACATGTTGATTTCATGTGAGCCGCTAGTCTAGTGGGATCCATAGATATTTAAATGGGATCGGGGACTCGTTTATACGTGGAGTTTTAGGCTTCCTATTGTCCTCTTCCTTGTGAATGGAATCATTATGGTTCTGTGAGGGTTAATAAGTAGCTCCTCCCTTTTGCACCACCTGTCAACCAGGTTGAGAGCTCGTTGTGTACGATCCATTACGATGTCTGTATGGCGGTACTTTACCATTACGGCAAGGTCGCACCGCCCAAGGTGGATGTGGGTGTTCCTTAGGCCTTCTTCCACCCATTGGTAGATTTTTTCCGAGACTCCCTTGTTTTTGATTGCTTTATATAGAGAGGCTGTGTTTGCGTAGTTAAAAGCTCCCTCTATAGTCATAAAAGTGTAATTATCTCCTTGTCGTTTATAGACTTGGTTATGTTTACACAGGTCATCCTGGGTTAGCTCTGTGGATTGTATGCGAATTTTTTCTCTCTGAAAGGTTTGTTCTTCAGTGCTGTTTCTCGAATGTGGTTCTCTACTAGTCTTTCTATTGTTTTTAACTTGAATGATGTAAGACTGATAGGTCTGTACGAGTCTGCCTTGCAGTCGATGGGTCGATCTACCTTTCGTATGTACACCACTCATATCTCTCGCCTATACCTCGAATGTAGCTCCATGTTAGACAGGCCCTGAATAATCTCACTAAATAAGGCACGAGGACTCTTGATCTTTTTGTAGCAGCGCCGGCGATTGTATGTGCTAAATTTCTCAAGTGCCCAGTTTATGGTTTTAGGTTGTAAAATGGTTGCCACCTCCTTTCACTCTATTCTTGTAAGTCTTTTTGATTTTGAGTGCTCAAGGACTATTTCTTCGTGGGTTATCTCTGATCCTGGAAAGTGATTTTTAATCAGTAGAGAGAGTGTTTCCTCTTCTGCTTGTGTAATGCTTCCATCTGTCTTCGTGCGGAAGCTTACCTGCCTCCCTGTACCATCCTGGGCTACAGTTTTGTGTATGCGGGCACATTGAGATGTTTCTGTGATTTCCTCACAATATCTCCGCAACTAGTCCCGTTTAGCTTTTCGGATTTCTTTGTTGTACTGGGTCAAGGCGTGGGCGTTCGGTTGAATAAAGTTCTTACTCTAGATCTCAGTCTTTCTAGCTGATTGGGCCACCACTGTTTTTGAAGCTCGTCGAAGTACTCTCTATCCATTGAGAAGGTTCGGTCGGTTGGAGGATTTTAGCCTGGCTAAGAACTACCATCCGTCAGTCTTGTGCTTTTTGGATCTGGTATATATATGTAGT